CATGTTAAACGCAAACGCATTTCAACACCGTTTATAAGAAATCTTTCTTGATTAAAAACATCGCAATGTAGATGTCCGATAAAATCACCAGTTTTATCGCATGTCAATAACTCACGGCGTTTTTTCAAGCCTACATTTTCATCGTCTAAACTGTCCATTTTTCCAGGCGTATCACACCACCATCCTACTGTTGTTAAATGTGATGTTTTAGCATCAACACCGTAATTCAATAAAGTTTCAATGTATGAACGGTAAGCGTATAAATTATTAGGTGTTGAAACAGGTTTTTGATTAAATAATACATCAACCTGGCTGAACATTGAATGCATAAAGTTGTTAACAGGCGCTACTTTAGGAACCGCAGCCGCTGCAGTAACTGACTGTTTCCGAATAATACGTACACTTAGTTTCAACATCGTATGTGCTAGGTCGATGTATTCATCACCCTGCCCTTGAACAACAAACTCTATGGGTGAATTATCAGCCAACGACGAAATTGGTTTATAATAAATCCATTGACCACTCTCAATTGTTGTCTGAGTTGGCGGTAGGGAAAATAATTCTAATTCCGTTTTAGCGCACTCGCACGAGTGTACATGTAAGAACGACATTTTAAAAAACCTTATGAAAAAATGTCCGCAACTGTACGCTGTTTATTGTTCTTTTTTTTAATATTTTTCTTTTTATTAATTCTACGTTTAGTTTTATTTTTTTTCACTTTAGATCTAGCCTTAGGTTTTACAACACGTCTTTTTTTGACAGAAATTTTTCTTGAGCGTGCCAACGTACGGCTCATACCGTCTGCAGAATCTAACTGACCGGATATATAACCAGAACCACTCATAAGACTATCAATTTTTTGCTGGGCTTTCCGTTTTAAATTTTTACCTGATTCGCGCACGCGCATTTTAAAAGCCTCCTCAGCAGGTATCTTATGATCCAATACATCTGTAGCTATATTCACACCAGACCTTAAAGCTTCTTTTCCTACAGCTTTAAGACCTGTCTTTAAGAAAGGTAATACTCTTCTAAATAATCCTCCTAAGAAACTACCTATACCGTGACCTTTTTGATACGGCGATCCAACATAAACATGGCTGATGCCGGAATAATTACGAGAACCATCGCCATATTGTTGTATTTCATAGACAGCCATTATGTTTATTTTAAAAACACCTTTTAAAATGTAGCGTCACCGTCAACGTCCCGTATTCAAATGGTATAGGTTTGCCATACTCATCTCTTATATCGATTTCGATAGTGGTCATACTTTTACGTAACAGAGGTATGTATTGTCCTGGTGAAAAACTTTTAATTTTGGTTGCGCCGTAATTATACTGGTCGTGATCAAGCGGGACCACTCGTAGTAAAGGTGTCTGGACATCGCCTGTTATATACCCCTCGCATATATCTGTATAGATAAATATTTTTCCAGGTATAGCTTGTGATAAAGAAGCTAGTTTAGAACCCCAACAATTATACGATTCAGATGATATAACTCTTGATAATATATTTTCTTCAAAACCTAATATACTCCAGAGTCTTTCACTTAACACCAGCGTATGTCTTGCATTTTCACAACTGCATACAGTATAAATTTTTATAAAACCTCCAACGTTATAAGTAAAATTCACATGATCCGAAATTGGTTTAAGTTTGTTGAGAGCGTCCACTAGATTTCCTAGACTTTGATATTGACCATGAGGTATATTGTCAGTAAAAGAAAAAGTGTCGATTATCGCATTAGACTTTTCCAAATCTAAGTATTCGACGGTTAACATAACTTTTGCAAATTCTTTCGGTACATGTAATATTGTCATAGGTGTCTGGATTTCTACTAAAGCAACCGCCCAACATCCATTAAGATCTAGCGGTTGAGGCAGTCTAGTGATGAAATGTGTTGTTGAATTATCAGGGAAGTATTGCATGCTGCTATTACTAGGTAATACTATGTAAAAATTATCACGTGTTAAAGCCATTTATTCCACCTTAGATAACTCTTCCTCATAAAATATACCATTTATAGGCTCGTTTTGCAAATCGATCAGTATGTAAACCGGAGGCTGTCGATAATTGGAAATTCTTAAAATTTTAAAAATCTCACTACTCCAACCGCTCTCGTAACCTTTCGTAAACGCTGCTTTTGCCTTACTGATACGCACCAAGTCACCGACAGAGTATTTAAGCTTACGCTTCGTTAAGACAGCTACCCGTTTATTGTTTTCATACCGCTTTTTAAGATTATTATAAGCTGTTTGAGCTGTGTTTTCGTTAACATCAACAGGAGCCATTTTGATACCACTATGTACCGTATGATTGTAGGCATGCATGATTTTTTGTAACACATCTAAATATCTTTTCGTACGTGTATGTGTAAAATACCGCCATATTCTTTCTTTTATAGTTCTATTTAGACGCTCCACGATAGAAGCTTTGATATCAGGATTGCGTGTTGTTCTAAACTGTATTTCTTTTTTGCGTAATAATTCTTGGAATGGGGCGCCTAAGAATTCCTTCCCGCTATCTGTTTGCAGTAAACGCGGTTTTCGTTTACCATTTCTACTTAATATTTTACTGAAAGCTTGAGCGACGGTTACACTGGTTTTGTTTATTAATGGCTCAGCCCATGCATGTTTGCTCAACACGTCTATAACCATTAATATATATTTATAACCTTTGTTATAAGTTGAGATGTTTCTTAAATCAGCTAAGTCGGCTTCCCACACGTCATCGACTGTTTCAACATTATAAGTCCTCCTAATAAAGTGTTTTCTGTTCATACGGTGTTTCGTAAAAACTTCTTGTTTATTTAACCATTCGTTAACATCTTTTTCTGACAGTTTAGATTCGTTTTTTTGAACATATTTCAAAATATTTCTAGCTCCCGAAAAACTTTCTGACTGTGAGGGATTGTAATACACTTTATTTAATTTTTCATCTATTTCAACCTTATCCATGATATTTTTTTACTTTTATTCAGAGTACCATTACCACTCTGGTTTAACATTGATTCATCGACGGTCACGTTTTCTGTTATTATTTCAGGTATAGTAATATTAGCGGACCGCCGTCTTGTCGGTGTAGAGGTTGATAGCTCTTCTTCTTCTTCGGAGACGTTGTTGAAATAAGCACGGTTGCCGATGAACTCGCGTGGTATGTTTAATGTTTGCAGTACTTTACCAAACTGTTGACGGCCTATAGCTTTTGCCTGCTTTCTAGGACGTATTATATCATTTACGAGATCCGTAATATTAGAATGGGGGATTTTCCGACCTTTGATTGTAACACAACCTCTATCATCCCAAGATATTAACGCTGTCGGCGCCTTTCTTAAACGTTTCAATACACGCGCACAGTTACTTCTGAGTTTTTTAGGTACGCTTTCTATAATTGAATTATCTATGATCACTTCGTATGAAGAATGGTGAGGAATTAAACTTTCGTCGGACCCTGCTGATGTGTCTAACATTTGAGAGGAGTTTTCGAAAGACGATTCCTGCTGAACTACGTTTTCTTCTATATTACTACCTATAACAGGTTTTCTTTCATATTCAAGAAACCTAAGATAACGCTCAAGCACTTGTAAGTAAGCTTGACATTTTTCACGATCTGTATTATATTTGCCGAAAGAATTTAAAATCTCATACATTTCATTGTCGAGACGCGTTAACACTGTACCGGTTGTCAAGCACGTTTTATTTTTTGCACACTCTTCGTTTTTTTCTGAGCTTATCTTTTCATTAAGTTTAGCCTCAGGTACTAATACCATTTTACGGGCGTGTTCCATATTTTTTCAAATTTATTTAGAAATAAAATTTGAAATTAGAGCTCCTAAAACAGGAGCTAAAAACAAGGGCAGAAAACCGCCTTTTTGTATAATTATTTTCTTTTTGTTTTGGAAACTACTACCTTTTGATGATAATTTTCTTAAAAGCTTAACGTGGCGTTTTAATTTTGTTTTATATTCGGGTGACAAGGGGACGGTACCCTGTAGTATGTTTAATATGCACTCACAAATACAACGTATCAAAGCAGGATCTGCTTTACGCAATACAGCCTGGCGCTGTGTGTTACTAAGGTAACACAACGCTTGTAATACACGCAGCTGCTTTTTCTGGATAGGTGTGTTCGCACCCATTATCAGTGAAGGACTGGTACATCGTTACGGCTAGTTTTATAATTTATATTTTTTTTAGATACATATACGTACTGGTGAGGGTCGTCGGGAAAAATACAACTACGAAAACGGCAGTTTTCGGGTGTTGACTGTTTTAAATCTAGTAGTAAGTAACCGTGCGGTGAAGATGTAGCGTCATAATATATTTCTTGCAGAAACCGTGTATTTTCAGGATTTACTTGTCTAGCTAGATGTTGTATTTGCGATCTATCGCGAGGATTTTTAAAAATCACAATATAATTGGCGTTTAACGATATATCCCTTTGACCCCTCCCCTGATGAAAAATGTTCTGCGTCAGAAAAATCACGCTTAAGTTCTTGTGATGGCTGCCCTTTGTAAAAAGATCTATCACAGTGTTGTTTGAAGCTTCTCGCATTAAATCGTCGATAATGACTAATTTAGCCGTCTTATCACCACTGTAATCTTCACTACCGGGTAAACCTTCACGAAACTCAATATTTTTGCAATTTATATATTCGTCATAGCTTGACTGCCATTCACCGTAATGAAATATTATTTTTGCAAAATTTGTATCACTCATTTGAGGAAGATGTTTAATAAATCTTTTTACAAACACTGTTTTACCACAGCCTGTAGGACCGCAAACGATCGAAGTCCACGGGTGTTTCCATCGAGGATCCATGATGTATACTAAATTAATTTTACATGGGCTTACGACATATATAAATAAGTTAACAAATAAGTATGTTTCTATGTTTTATTTAAAAACTACCGTCATACTTGTAGTTACAAGAATAAAATATTGTGCAGAATAATAAATGTTTTCAAATAAAGTATTTTAAAATATTAAAGTCATGAAGATTAGCAACTGATTTGTGTATGTGCGCCTTTACCCGTGCTGCTGTCTCCGTCATCGTTAGGGTCGTCCCGGCGGGCGTCAGAGTTGTTGTCTCCGTCATCGTAACGGGCGTGCCAGAGAGGTACAAGAGCTTCTCGCACAGCGTCAGGAGCTGACCTCATAGCTGAATCGAATACAGACCTCGACAAACTCATGAAAAACTGCAACATTGACAAATTCAATAACAAAATTAATTTGTGTGTTACATATTTTAGCAAACACCATGTTTGACATACCTCTAGATAAGTCTGACCCTGTCTAACCAATCGTGTACACAGAGATAACCATACGATAGTTTCTTCATTTAACCTGGGAGGTAATATCCGAAAAAGAGGGTCTTGAGGCCATAATGTGCGAAACGCTTCAAGATCTTCTATGGTCACCTCTATTACAGGTAATATTCCTGATTCTTCTTGAAGAACAGTCTCTTCACATTTAGAGTAACACATTTTACAGGGCACTTTAGATGATACTAAACTACAGTTCGTATATTAACTGTTTTGTTAACGTCTCGTACGGTGATGATCCACCACTATTGAGATAACCAGCTGCTTATTTGCTGACCTTTTGCATTTTCACTTATTTTATATTATAAACGGTTCCCTACGACTTTTCAAAATTGCTTTTTGCAAAGCCAACACATTATTTAACGCGCATGCTAAATTATTACCTGTTCCGTGAAACCCGCAATTAACGTCTCCTGATTCTAAGTTTTTAAAGCTTGGACATTCGTCAGGGTCTTCTTCTTCTAAATTAATAATTTCCCTACGCAATAATGTTTCAAGATATTTCAATTTAATACTACCGCGCACGTAAATTGTATGAGCCTTTTCACAATAAAACTTAAAAATGTCAAAAATATCGGATAAGGTAACACCACCGTCAGACCATCTTATACCGTGTTTATTTTTTGTAAGCCAATAATTAGTTTGTCGTGTCTTTGATAATAATTGACTATCGGAAAAAGATGGTTTAAGCAACCAATGCTTTTGTATTGAACTATCCACACCGATTATAGCGATTTCTTTAGGTACAAAAGTACCTTGATCGTTAGTTAGGCCTTGTATATCTATAATTAATTCCATTTATGATAGCTAATCGTGATACCTCTGCAGAAGACAGTTTCCGTAGCGGTACTGACGACGCCGTTGTTGAATATACTTATAAGTAGATAAATTAATGTTATCAAGATACTTACACGTGTTTTAATTTTACAGTAAACAAATAGGAATGCGTGAATAAAACAGTAAGAGTTTTTATTTTAATTAAATTTTAATACAATCACATATGTGTATATAATTTCTTTTTCTTAAATACAAATAATAGTTTATTTTTTAAAAAACACAATAAAATATATATGTATGTATATAATTTTTATTCTAAAATATAACAATATTAATTTATGGTTAAAATTGATACCCAAAAGGCAGAGTTGTATACTTATTTCTAAAACGCCGTTTTTTAAATTGCGGGTATGTTCTTTTCTTTTCTTTTTTCGTAACTACGGTATGAAAACATGTTCTACGTATAGCATTGAAACGTACTTCTATAGGTGTTCTTCTTTTACCAGTCACAAGGTCCCTAACATTTTTATAATTAATTTTAAGACTGTTAGAAAAATTTAAGGTTATACCTTTTACTTTACAAACCTCCGCAGTCGAACCGTCAGGTCTACGTATTATAAAAGCATAAAATTTGGGCCCGCCTGTTACAAAAGATGTAATATAGCTACCTACCCCTTCCTTTTCTAATTCATCTGTTAAATCCCCTAAGAATTTACCAGTCGGTGGTTCATATTGACCGTCTGCCGAAACATAAATACATGAGTCTGTATCGCAATATAACACCCTTTTGCCCAAATTTTCTAAATAAGAATATAATTTAAGACGGGCTTGCGCTGTCGTGTACGCTGCTATAACAACATTTGTTGTCCGGGATGGTTTTATAGCCTCTCGAGCGTTTATAAAATTAATATACAAAGTTTTATCATTCACAGGCAAAAACCCACAAATTTCTATCTGAGTATCTGTTAATAACTCCATTAAACGATTTCTAGTTGTAACAATTTCAGTTTGCATTAAATTTTCACGCTGCCCGAATTTTCCCCATAAAGAGTTCAAACTGAGCTTCGCTACAGAACGTAGTCCCGAATTATATTTAATTTTATCTTTATCTAAACATATTCCTTCAGCGCGCTCGTAATCTTCAATATATTTATTTTTATCCTCCTCAGTTACACAATCTTTCGGAAAACCGCTAGCCTCTGTTTTAATTTTTAAAAAAGTATCGATATCTTCTGTAAATAACCCATCACACTCTTTGTCTTTATTATACTGCATTATATCATACTGCCATATTTCATAAATCTTAAGAACAATATAACCTTTTGAAACAGCTTTTTTGACCTCGTCTACAACCCACGTACCTGTAAATTTCCTATCCTTCGTTTTATGATTACAACCGGTTTGTCTCAATTCTTGAGCACAAGTTCGACATAGCGCAAAAAGAAGCCTATTATGGATTTTGCAAGGCAGTACAGGGTGATAAAGTTTTCGCGGTGGTAAAACGGTACATTTTATAAGCCCCTCTATACCAGCCAAATTATTATGTTCACCTACTATTTTATAACAGTCTTCACCAATATAAATTTCGGGATGGCCAACCGGAAACTTGCCTGTTTTGCAAATATATGGGTAGAGCGAGCAAACGTCGACATACTTAATTTTTTCATTATCTTTAACGTCGTACAAACTCACAAAACTTTCTGTACGGCCACCAAAAAAAGCATCGCGTGGTTTCAAAGGCTCTATACTAAGAAGTGGATCCCTACTTTACTCTTGCAATGAGAAAATATCTCATCGGAGTTAATAAAATGTATCTTATTTTTTTATGGCTTGGAACTATTAAAATAATAATATCGCAATCTGAAATAATAGTAATTTTTTGACAGATAGAAAAAAAATCACATAGTCATTCCATTTGAAATTTAAAAGAAAATTTGAATTATTGATGAGCGTGAGAGAAAATCTCATAGCGAGAGTGCTGAAGGGTTAATAACATTTATCGGAAACTTAAATCGATTTTAATTCTATCCAGCTGCATATGATGAAATGATACTTTGCTTCGGAATGTCTGGGAATTTTTTCCTGTGGTTCTCTACTACTTGGAGCAAAAATTGTTTTTGTTCCTTATCTCTCGTTAAACAATTATTGAATTGTGTCATTAATGCAACTCCCGCTCAGCAATATCGTTAGTAACTTTTAAATACGAAAGCACGTTTATGCGATGAATATAATCATCATCAGTCGACCAAAGTATTGGATCTTTGTCAAAAAAATTATATGATAATTTAAATTGATCAAATAAAAAAAAAAAGAGCGCTTGCTAGCGAAATCACTAACGTTTTTAGTAGTAGAAAACCACAGGAAAAAATCCCCAGGCATTTCGAAGCAAAGTATCATTTCATGATATGCAGCTGAATAAAATTAAAATCGACTTAAGTTTCTACACGGGAAGAAAATTGAAGGAGTTTTTACTATTTTACTATTGTTATTTTTACTGAATAAAATAGTAACGGTGGACTATACTTCTCATTTAGTAATTTTTACGATCTACCATTGTAAATTTTATCCAACAAATAAGACTAGCAAGAGTCTTAAAAAGTCGAATACTATAGAGCAAATTATACAATATGTATTTGTGAACTTTACAATTCAACTATTGTAAAAATTCACAGTTGGTTTTTTTCAAAGAAATATTAGGGAGGGAGAGAGATAGAAGGTTGCACGAATTGGTACCTGTACAGTAATCGAAAAAAGAAACAAACATTTTCGTGCTATCTGGGAATCGGCTCACCGAAGTTAGCCCCCCAGAATTTTTTTTTTAATTTTTTAATTTTTTTTTTATTACATCGTTAGTTCATCATTTGTTCTTTATTGTTCTCTATAAACATTTGTTTGTTCTCGATTTATTTATTTAAAAAAAACTTATTAAAAATGTGCCCTTAAGTTAGCCCCCCCTATCGCATTTTTTAATATTTTTTCAGCAATACGGGTCAATAAACCTCTGTTTATGATTGTTCATGTATAAAAAACGTTTGTTCCCATTTGACATTGTTTATTTTTTAATTAATTAATTATTTTTGATTACTTGAATATTTGTATTCTAAATACTTGCACTGCGCATGCGTCAACTTTAGACTTAAAAGATATCCATTACTATTAAATAATTTATTAAGAATGATAATCCTCATATCACATTCTATAACTGATCTAAATAATGATTAAAATATTAATTAGTATATATTTCTTAAAATCGAAATAATTGATGAAATATTTATGAGCATTGTTCACATTTCGTGAATCCTTAACCTATCTTTTTTTCTAATCTTCATAAAAGCACGTGGAAGAGGAAAGCAAACTTGTAGTTTTTATAATAAATTTTATTTTAATAAAGTATTAAGATTTTCTATGAAATTATTTTCTTTCTATTTTAATAGTAGTTCTGATTAGTCATGGAAATAGAATTGATGAGTTTAAAAAAAAAATAAACATACAATGCGTTGTACAACTCCAAGAAGTTGTACAGTTATTTTTGATCGATTATCCTTTAATTTTTGAGACACACCAAGATTTTGTTTTTAATCTCGAAAAAAAATATTTTTGAGGATATATACTTCCTGGAGCAGCGGTCACAGGAGCTGTTGGTAGTTCCAGGTCCACATAAGTATTTTTTACCAAGATTGAAAGCAAAATCTCTGTGGGTTTTAAAAATTAAAGGACAATAGGTCGCAAACATCGTTACAACTCCCTGGAGCCGCGGTCATTGGAACTGTTAGCAGTTTTGGGTCCTCGAAAATTTTTTTTATCAAGATCAAAAGCAAAATCTTGGGGTGATTTAAAAATTACAAGACAATCGGTCGCAAGTATCAGTACAACTTCCTGGAGCAGCGGTCACAGGAAAATTAATTAATTTTTAGTTATTTTTTGAATTTCCATTTTTCTAGCGCTTATTTTGTATGATTACGACGTTTTTAATCGTATTTGTTATGAATTGTGAGAATTTATATTTGTAAATATTTAGAAATGTCCAAAATTAAAGATAACTAAATTAACTGGTCTATATTTAGAGATGTCCATTTTTTAAGTTTATGAATAATTAAAACTGTCAATTTTTCTATATTTCTAAATTTTCAATTGTCTTTTTATTGACTTGTCTAAATTTATTCTTTTCCATTTTTTTAAATATCTGTCATTTCACTTGTTTGTTTTATGGTTTGTCTAATTTCAAGGATATCTTATTTTTAAATTTTATAATTTTATGCTTATCTTTTTTAAAATAATTCCAATTTTTTTGGTAACTAAATTTTGACATTACTACACGGAAAGAAAAATATGGGAACTATTCCCATAATTTTATGGGAACAGTTCCTAGGTAATTATAGGAACTGTTCCCATGAATTATGGGATTACAACATATTAACATATTTTAACAATTACAAAAATCATAAAAATTGTGAATGTTCAAATAATGAAAAATAAACACATATGATGGTTTGATTTGAAAATAATTAACAAAACTTCTTTTATTGTTAAAAGTTTCAGTATTTATTATTCTACAGAATTTTTTTAAAGTTGAAATCTACCTTCCATCTCGGGCATGGCCGTATGGCGCTTTTTTTTGTAATGACTTTATTGATTAGCAACTTCTGAAGAAGAATATAGATATTTTATATTTATAATATTTTATAAATTTTTATAAAATTTTATGTAATTTTATGAGAATTCATAAAATCTCTGGTCGTGGATCAAAATTTTGATTTCTCAAATTTTAAAAAATGTTATAAAATTTTATGAAAATTCATCAAATTTCACGAAACCTTATAAAACTCTTGTCACGAATCAAAGATTTGATTCCTTATATTTTAAAAAATTTATACAATTTTGCAAAACTCAAGTACTTATTTTATGGACAATTATCAAATTTCATGTAATTCTATGAATATTTACAAAATTCTTGTCACGAATCCAAGATTTGACTTCTCCAATTGTCTAAAGAGTTACAGAATGTTATTGAAATTTATGCA